TATACCTGTTTGCTATTTGTATAACAATGGTTTTCTTTGGAATGTGGGCTTTGCGCATGCGCAAGAAAGTACGCATAATAAGGTCATAATGTTCCATATGGCTCATAGAATTACAATTATCCTTCAAGGTAAGTCTACCTCTTGTCTAATTTTCAATTATAACCGTTCCTTAGGGCAAAGTCATATTTAGGTATTGTTTTCAAGGACTAAGTGTTTTCACTCTCAGAATAACAAACTCGTCAGTAACTTGTCCACAAATTTAAATTAAAAACCTTTAATTAATCAAATTAGAATTTTTCATTGTATAAAAATAGGTTTGAAAAAATAGATTTTAAAAGCCTGAAATGTTCATATATTAAAAGGCAGAATGTCCCTGTTGTAGTTTAGACATATTTCGAATACGTAGTTGAAAAACTCTTCGAAGACTAAGATTCAATTTTAATTTTTCAAATCTCAAGGCTCTGTTATAGAACAAGAAAAGCAGTTTTGGGGATATAGAGGGATGTTTGGCAAAAAAAACCCAACTATATAGAGACCAGGAAAGACGCCCTATTAAGGACTTTTAAAAGTAGTTAATGAGATAACATGAGATAACAATTGCGCTCGTTCTCATGTTAATGACTTAAAATGGCAGTGTTGAATTTTGACTTCTTAATAATATAAATATCTGATTTGAATTTTATTTAATTTTTGAAAATATCAAATAAAAATATAATGTGGTATAATGCATTATTTATACTTGAAGCCACTTTAAAAGACTCCATTCATTATTCATGTGAGGGGTGTGGCCGAGAGAAGCATTCTTAACAACTTCCTTGTACAATCTGTACACTTTTAGTAGCCTAATTTAGAGGGCACATCATTTTCCACGCAAAACCGTGAAACAACTCCCCCCTGAAAATTTAGTACTCTTTAAGATAAATGTCAAAAGTTTTTGAGCCCAATTGGCTTTCAGCTAGAAGGGTCGATCAAAATATAATTAGTAAAAGTATCATGGTTTTACATAGTTTTTGATCAGTATTCAGTCGCAGCATATATATAGTTTTCTATGAATAAGGTTTTATGGAAAGACGTCTTGCGGATAATTGATTCAAATAAAATCATTTCATTTTTATGGAAAGTGTACTACATCTATTTTGAAAATCAAAGACCTTTTGCATGAAGATATAGGGCGATCCTACCGCTATAGGACGTAGTACGTCTTTTTGGAGCACCCTGGGGAATGAAAAAAAAAGACTAGTCCTTCTTTAGCACCAGGATCAATCTACCTTCGTGTATAGCACCTCTTACCGCTCTGTAAAATATTAATTGTGTTCATAAAGTTTTTCTCGGCTCATCCTTTTGCTTAAATTGCACTCATTCCTTCAAAATGAACGATTTGCTTCAGTCCAACATCGATCTGTTCTGGTGGAGAATGGCCAAGGAGTAGTGACATCAAGACCAGTATGGTCAGCAGTCACCATCAGTTTGCTTGTCAATCATCAATCTGTTCCACAGTGCTTCCACACCGGTTTCCATCATTTTCGTCATCTCTGTATTCTTCAGCACACCGCTGACAGTTTGGACCGTGGACGAACCTTTGAATCTTTGTACAGGGTGGATGGCCCCAGTCCTGGAAAACCATGTTGAGACTTGTGTCGGCATCAATCATAAATAGTTTTAATCAGACAATTTAAATTTTGAATTAATTCGAGGGGATCAATCAAATTTCGTCAAATTATATCAGGCTAAATAATGTAAGATTAAATTATTCCATTTCATCCATCCAATCACTCTTCAATTTTCAAAGGGTTCAATGGAACTACTTATATTGAGCTTGGACGTGTTGTTTTCCTATTTGACTACTATCATTTCCTGGATGACGATGATGATGATGATGATTATGATTATGGTGATGATGATCTTGATATGATGATGATAATGATGGTGATCATGATGGTGATGGTGGTAGTGTTGGTGCTGGTGATGATGATGATCATTAAGATTACAGTGATGATGATCTTGATCATTTTGATGATAATATGCATGGTCTAAAAAACGTTCAATCCCACAATGACTGGGAAAACAAGCCAAGGCTGAAAAGGTCTACTGTAGTATTTCATTTGAGCTAGATTACCTTGATTCTCTCGTAAGTGTCGCTGATAATACCAATAAACAAACTGAGGACTACATATATGAACAGAGAGATGAAAACATAGAGGTAGATCTTGCTGAATACCCAGATATAAATGTTACGTTTCTGCATCTCGCTGTACGTCATATACATATCATCTCCATTGATCAATGAGAAGAGACATTCTGATACTGTTGACAGGTTACGGAACTGCAAGTTAAAACAATAAAAACGTATCATTTGTGATTATGGACCGCGCCATATAGGATAAAAATAAATAAATAAATAAATAATAATAATAATAATAATAATAATAAAATATAAAATAATTATAAAAATGTGTTCACCGTTCTATATTTTTGCTTTTGTTTTGGGCAGGGAAAGGGATACTATTCTGATACTATTCACAACGTAAGGATCTGCGCGTCAAAATAACAAAATATTGATTGTCACATTTTATTCGTGGTTTGCATTTCTTCACGTCTTACGTGTAAAACGCCATGTTGAAAGGATATCTTTATATCCTCCAACATGACAGCAACGTGATGATAACGATACAGTACCTTAGGGTGGTATGGTCCAAGCACAATCCAACCACAGAACATAAAACCAAAGTAAAGCAAAGCTGCACAGACACAAAAACGAAGCACACTGGGTCCTGATGCTCGTAAGGTTACTAACAGAATCTGGAAAAAAAATTTTTTTTGTTGGTCATTTGTGCCAGAAAGTTACGAAATCGAATTTATCACTCTGGGAGTGGAAGGAGACCCTGAGAAGTCTTGTAACGACCCAATTGAGAAATCCCCCAAAAATCAGGGCTGTCAACCCCCAAGATATTCAAATCTGGAGAATTGATAGGGAAGGGAAATGACGTCACAGCGCAAAAAAGCGCGCGAAAAGACGTCTTTCGCTTTGTAACATTTGTTATGATTGGTTTATTTCTGACCAATCAGATTATCGCTTATATTACAATGGCCTGCTTGCAAGAACAGTTTATGAGGAACGTTTTGATTTTGTTAGCGATGTAAAATAACACAAACAACACCAAAATGATTGGAATTTTAATTATGGTTGTGAAAGTCGAGTCTCGAGTCGAGAGAAATGGTCAGCTTCGGGGATTATCCGGGAGATTTGAGACTCTAATCTGGAGACCGGGAGATACGGTCCAAAATCTGGAGACTCCCGGTTTATCCGGGAGAGTTGACAGTCCTGAAAAATGGTTCTCACTCTACATCATAAGCGACCCAATAGTCCCTTTCACAATTCCGTAAGCAATCTTGAAAGGTAGTTGTGCCTTTGCATCGAAGCGAAACAAACGGTGAGCTTCCAATGATAGAGAAGTGAATAATTGTCCAAGGTGTTAAAATAGGTCTCCATCATTGCAAGCTCACCATTCGTCTTGCTTTGATGCAAAGGCACAGCTACCTTTCAAGATTGCTTAGGGAATTGTGAAGGGGTCTTTTGGGTAAGTGAATGATGAAACAGCTTCATTTCAAGATGGCTAAGGGAACTGTAAAAAGGACTGTTAAGAGAGTGCCCAAATAATCTAACTAGATTAGAGCAGTATGCTCAGCCCTCATTCTTTACATACAAACTCGTTACCTTGTCTGAGCTAATAATAATCCTGAATGACCTTGCATTTAAAGCAAGATTCTGTGACTTATAAACTTCCTGTACTCACATTATACTTTTTCATGTATCCAAGGTATCTTAGCACACCAATCCAGGTAAAGAGTACCCCAGTGCCAAGGAATATACTGCAGGTATTGTACATAGAAAGAACCTATAGAGTAACATCACTGGAATATTAGATACATGTCAACCATAATGTTAACTTTATAATAAATGCACTCCTTTTTTATTTCATCCTTGTTTTAAGAGGTGACTAACAAATTCGTGATTCTCATTCCATGATTCGTAGCAATACTCCGGTTTCAGTCAGCTTTTGTTCAGCTTTAGTCTCAGTTGTGCATTAAAATGTTCAGTGATTCAACCAGAACTTGTTGAATTTTAATCAAATCTTATTGTTCCGCACTAAGGCTGAGCAAAGGCAAACTCAAAATGGGAGAATTGGGAATTTAGAAGTCGAATTTTGCAAGGCAGAAAAACCTTAGCACCTGGAGGAAAGCCTTCAAACCAAAGAATGGCAAGCAACTCTATTTACATGTGATTATGGGTCAGAGGATTGAACCCTTGCTGAAGGTGGTTGGAGGAAGTGCAAAAGTAAGCACACAACTAGTGCGTAAACGGAAAAACGACTGACATGGTGGATATCGTTATATTCAAAGGAACATCATCATCATCATCATCATAATCATCATCAAAGGAAAACCAGTCACCATCATTAATATTATCACCATCATCATTATCAGCACCACCATCACCACCACCACCATCATCTTCACCATCACCACCACCATCATCCTTGACATTCTTACCACCATCATCATCATCATCACCAACACCATCACCATCATTATCACCATCACCATCATCATCACCATCAACGCCATCACCATCATTATCATCATCACCACCAACATCATCGTCATCATCATTATCATTTAGTCGCCATTATCCCTATCATCATCATCATCATCATCATTAACAAGCCACAATTTTGTTATCATCTAAAAGGTCAATAACCATACTAACTGTTGTCATTTGTTGTTTTTTGGAGTCAATAAGAATCTTGAAGATTGACCCAAGAATAGTGCAAGTGTCACTAATAACTATCAGAATGAACCACAAGTTGATCAGGTCTAGACAGTCCCAGTACGAGAGGTGGTCGTGTAACTCCTGCCTGAAGAATCGTCTTGTTGCCTAGGTCATGAAGTACAAATTAGTTAGCAATTTATTCACCATATAAGTTAACTGATAATGACTAGTGGTTACTAGTTGGGACTGTGTTGGTGTGTTGGTGTGTTGGTGTGTTGAATACAACAAGTGAATAAGAATGTCTAGTGGTTACTAGTTGGGACTGTGTTGGTGTGT